TGTGTATATAATATAAAATATTATATACATAGTAAAAATAATATACTGCTTGAGAAACAGTTACTCACATAAGTTTCCCTTTTCTGCTATGCTGTCTGCTTATTTAGGTTAGTTTAGGCACATTTAAAAGAAAGGCTGTGCAAAGTGCATTTATTTACCGAGTAGAAATGCTTAGTTAAAAAAAAAGAAATGTATGTTTGTTTGTTACCAGAAGTCTGTGCTCTGTCTATCAATGTGACTGTGGCATTTACAATAAATCCAATTCCTTGATGTAAAATCTAAAGCCTATTTTCTAAGCACTCTGGAGTAGTTGAGTTGCTGCTCTTGGCTGTTCCAGAGTTCATAGTTCAATTTCGTATGATTCTTGATTAAATCCCTTGTCTTTGACTAGAAGGAAATGACCTAGTGCAGTATGAAGAATAATCATCTTATTACAGTGATTCATAATAGGTAGGTGAGTTGTTCCAAAACTCATGCTCCGTGGAGCAGGGTGGATTAACATAGGATGTTCTGAAGGAAGTACAGGGTCCTAAAATCCAAGGACCAAACTCGTTAACAGATTTTATTTTTTTTTTCTCGCTATATTTCCTTGACTATTCTTTAATGGAAAGCTTTTCACTAGGGTTCAGTATCATACTAAGCTGACTGAACATTGGTGGAAAACAAGTCACTTTTTTTCCAGCTTCACTCACTTGCCAAGRGATCTGAGCTGGGATAAAAGCTAATGGAGAGATGGGAGTTTCTTCACAAAAAAAATGACATTTTTTTGCTGTCTTTTACCTGTTCGCACGGTAGCTATAATTATTAACTTGTGCATCTCGTAAGGAGTTAAAGCATTGCTGGAACATCTTAAGAGACAAATTGTGCAGTTGCTGATTTACAGTTTAAATTCATTCATTTCTGGTTTTATTCAACTTGCTTTTGAGACAGCATGAAGTTTTGGTTATTAGTCATTTCTGCAAGATACAATTCACATACATGAGGTTTCCTAATACAATGCATCTTTCCAGCGTAGGAGAGAACTTACTAGTGCTCCCTCACTTCTCACAGTTGGATAACTTGCTAAAYGATCCTTGATTATATGAAAGGAACTGCAAAGGCTGTGGAAGCGTTCCATAGCCGGATTAACAAACCAGCTGCTCCCCACAAAATAAGCCTAAACCCATTTTGCTCACGGGAACTTGGAACTGGGAAAAAAGTACTCAAAAATGTGACTGTTTTCACGTCTTGCCTCTTCAAACTTTTTATGTCAATTCAGATTAAATTTCTTAGGTTCATCCTGGATGGTCTTGTCAGCCAGATTATGAAGATTCTTTTGCCATTAATTTTTTTAATGAAATATGTCTTTAAAGGAAAGTGACTTCCCTTTTTACATTGCATTGCACGTAAATAAATCAAATTAAGCTTTCTTTTTCACTTGAAATTGAACAGTGCCTAGACCAGATGGCTAAAGTGGCACCTGTGGTATTTCTGCAAGGCATTAAGAATTTATCATTGGTAATTGAGTTCTTGCAGTTCACAGCATTTTAATCCAGTTCCATTTCCTCTTGAGTGAGATTTAGGATACTTACTGAGCAAATTTAAATTTCAAGCTCCAAAAGGTGAGGATAGCCTTTCTGGTTTTAATGCAGCATCTATTATAATGTAGTTAATGTGTTTAAGACCCTATTTTACACAGAGATTAATGATGCAAGCTATTTGCTCTATAAGCAGATTAGTTTTAAACTGACATGAACGTGTCCACCTAATAGTTTTCACTAGCTTATGTAAACCTTCCTAAGCAGCAGATGTATTTTTGTATGATAGCAGAAGATGGATTTCCACTCCCCCAGTACAGTTCTTCTTAAAGCCCACTCGAATTCCCCAAGTGCATCATTTTGTTGTCTGATTGTACAGCTGCCTAAAAAAAAAAAATTAAAAAAGAATGGTCTAACTGGAATATGTCATATAGGGCATTGAAAGCAGTGGGTTATACTGGACRCTCAAGGGAAGAACAGCATACCCTGATCTTTACCCAGCAGTTGTCAGTGGCAGCACGCAGCGCACAAACGAAGGGCCTGACGTGTCCTGCTAGGTTCACCTTCTGCACAAGACTCTACCAGTAAAATGCATCGACCTGAAACTTCACCTGCACAAACCTGGTTGAATACTTACACATCTGTCCAAACGAGGCAGGTTTATGCCTACAAAGAAAGGGGAAATCCCACCTCCTTCCATTTTTGTTCACGGTGTCTTGGAGTAAGAATTCCACTCCCGTCCCAAAAGTACCTACTTCTCCCAAATATTTCGATGTCAGCTCTTCTGTTAAACAGTGGATCTTAATTTATAGAATTCYTTTACCTCAAATAAGTGACAGCATACAGTATTTTCTTAAATCAGAGTCAATTTGATTGAAACTGTTAATCCCAAATGGCTTCCTCTTATTTGTATTTGGCTCTTACTCTGTGAAAATGCTGCTTGTCCATGAATATGATGTATGTTGAGACTGTAAAACCAAATGGAGAAAACTTGTTCAAAATAAAGCCTTTTTTTTATAAGAATGTGACAAAAATAATCCCTTTCCTTTACATGGGATGCTGCTCTTTAAACAACTAGTGAGAACAAAGACTACAGTTTTTAAGTTCCCAGCTCTTAGTTTGAGCTACTRCTATGAGTGATTCTTTGCCTTCTGTTTTTAGGGCTGGTGGAGCAAATCTTCATTAAAAAGGAAACCTRTCTGATAAAGGTTAAGTACTGAACAAGCGTAAGCTTTATTGTTTTTACAAAACCAAGTTTTGTAGCCTAGGAAAGCTTGCCTATTTCTGTTATGGATTAGGGAAAAAAAAAAGATTTCTCCTAACTTTGACAGAGGACCTTGCTTAACTGAGCAACTGAGAGGGGATTCAGCTTTTGAAAGATGATTCTTCCAGTGTTCCCTGGCTCAAGCTGCAGGTGTCTGAGAGCTAAGGAGCGAGCGTGTCCATTTTCTTTGTTCTACCCTTACAGCAGCAGCTTAAACTGAATGTACTGTTCTCATAACACGAGAGCGAGAACTGCTGTAGGAGCAGTACCTTAGGGTTCATCACTTCATCCTCCAGCATTCGTAACTGCTGAGAGCACATTCACGTCTGAACTCAAAAAAAAAAAAAGCAGCTTGGAATTGCTTTGTGGTCATTTTGGGTGGTAAGGAAGTGATGCCTGCCAGCAAGGCTGTCCTGGAAGACAACGGTTACTGCCTTTTGCCATTGGCTGCAGGGATGGGGCACGGTTGCATGCTAGAGAGCACAACTTTACCTCAGCCTGTATGAACTGCAATTAAAAAAGAAAAAGTTGCAGCTAAATGCTTGTGGAATAAACAAGTACTTCTTCATATTGCGTTGATCCCTGACAAATTTTAAACTGCACAAGCATTTCTGGATTCATCCAGTCAGTGGCACTTTATTTAGAAATGCATACAAYTTCTTTTTGCAGTTTTCAGTTTATTAACGTAATGTGTGTGTATAACAGAGCACTGCTCTGTGTGGATACTCCTTCATTGACAGTTATGTGCTTATCAGCCACAGAACCACAGCATAGCTGGGGTCAGAAGGCATCTCTGGAGCTCATCTGCTCCAAGTGTCCTGCTCCAGCAGCGTCAGCTCAAGCAGGTTACCCTGGACTGTGTGTGTTCAGGTTTTGGGTATCTCCAAGGTTGGAGCCTCCACAACCCCTGGGAAACCTGCCCACTCTCAAAGTGAATGTTTTCCTAAGTTCAAGTGGATGTTGCTGTATTTCAGTTCGTCCCTATCACAGGGCTTGGCCTTGACACGCTCTTACCAGATACTTAGACCCATTGATGAGATCACCATGAGCCTTTTCTTCTCCAGGTGCAACAGTGCTGCACTCTCAGCCTCTCCTCAAATGAGAAGATGCTCCCTCCAGTTCTTTAATGACTTCTGTAACCCTCTGCAGCCCCTTAAGCATCTCCGTCACAAGCAACCAGGTCCCTGTCACTGAAGTCATGTTTTTTAATTCCTTATGAAGTYGTGACCACCTGCAAGAAGAACCAGTAGTGAAAGGAGGGAGCTCTCCTGCGCTATATGGTTCTGTACTACCACAGCAAAGGCGGTTCAGAAGGTTGCTGTTCTCCTCACAGAGATGACTGCCAAAGATGAAAGCTGTCAATTCAGTTGTGCTCGAGCTTCAATGGTCAACTGGATTTGAATGGTGGACTTTGGGTAGCCAGTTCTGCTGCCCAAAGACCTGATGTGCAGCCAGCACCTTGATTTCAATGTGTGCTGCGCAGAAAGGAGGATGATTCTCGCCTATCTCATCTGTAACTACCACCACACGATTACCCACCTCTTGGCAGTATACAGATGCATTGACAGAGCAGAGGGGCAATGATTTCTAATGATGTGGTGGGGTGTGAGGGAGGCTGAGGGCAGCAACCCCTCAGCTGAGCTGGAACTGTGTAGAACAGTTCGTGTCTGTATCGGTGCCCCTTTGATCCAGGTGCCTTAAAAATAGTCGGGGCTCTGCAAGCTGTTTCCATTACAGAGAGAAATTGGTAGGATTAGGATAGGATTAGGATCGTATCTTTCGATACAACCTGATTTATTTTTGAAGAAGGCATGTGCAATGCTGTTTTCCTGAGCCTAATAAGCTGTAGGCTCTTTACTTGCTTCCGACTCTCAGTGTTTCCAGAGCTGCTCTTTTAGCCAGGTCGGGGTGAGGGAAATCGGTTCTTGTGGTTTTCGGGAGCTGGGAGAGAAGTGGGGAAAAAGCCAGCAGACAGCAATCAAGCATGTCTCCCAGCCCTTTCATTTTCCAGAGACAGGCCACCAGTCAGCCTGGTTTAGGCCTGCTGCGCCTTTGCGGGTGTCTGGCTTGGTTTCAATGTTGCCACCTAAGCAAATGGATTTTCGCTGTGTTTCAGACCATTTTCCTTCCCGCCGGAGCTTCCTGAGATTGCAGCCAAGGGGAGAGGGAGGAATCCCGTTCCACTG